GTGTGTGTTGACCTGTGCATTCCCAAAGGCCACGTTCTGACACAGCCTGCCGATGTCGGTCTTGCAGGAGTCGTACAGCTCCGGTTCCAGACGGATGTCCTCTGACTGCAGACGTTTGAGGCAGATTTGGAGAATTTAAAGGAAACAGACACAAAATAAAAACTTTAAAGACACGAAGGATCTCTGCTCGCTTCAACAAAGCACACCGGAAAAGAGAAAAACACCAAATGCTCCCAGGAGGAACCTTAGACGATGCCGTTTGCTGCTACTTTTTACTCCAGGTTTGGAAAAGTGACTGGAGCATAAACTAGATCTCAGTTTACTTTATTTACATTTCAACACGCACCTACTGACATCAGGGTATCCAAGTGTTATTCCATCGTAATATTTTGACTTCTTAAGTCTTTGTGCTGCATGTTTTCTATCATTATATACATTACCATTTTGTTTTCTTACACTTTTTCCATTTGATTTATTTTTAACTGCTTCTAATCCATTTTTGTTCATTTTCTTGTGTCTTATTGGGTTTGTCAGTCATGTGTGACGTGCTGTGAACTGCACAAAAAGGTGTTATAAAACTGCAGCTGCTGTTGCTGTGAACCAGAATCATCTGCACATGCGTCCTGATAGAGAAATATATTTTAACTGTTTTTACAAACACGGGTTAAATCTCTTTTATAAGCTCACAGAAAACCAAACATACTTAGCCTAAAACTAAAGGTTCTAAAATCATTTTCTTTTAACACCATGTTGGGCTGTTGGGCGGTATCTCGCTAACCAACAGCAAACCTGAGGACGTTACGCTGCCCGACTGTGACAGAGAGTCAGAGAACATACCATTTCCACCTCCTCCACCCGCAGCTGTTTACGACACTTGACAGACACTCGCTGCTCCTTGGCGTCCTGCAGGGTGTCGTTTCTCACCGTGGTGCTGAGGCAGATCACGACATCCACCCTGACAACGACAGGAAGTCACAGAGTTTCACCCGACCGGTCAGATTCAGTATGATCAGCAGATGAGAAAAAAGTAAGAAAAAGCAGAAAGTGTCCAATTTAAAGTTTTAATTAAAGAAAAAAGAAGTAGAAAGACCTGTGTTAGAATAAACTGCTGAGTAACAGTGAAGCTCGATTAAGCAAATTACACCAAAACCACAGCTGGAGATGGACAGAGTGGAGTTTAGTGGCCAGCATGGGTGTGAACCCAAAGCTTACACACCAAGCTACAGCTACATGTTGTAGCTATGTACTGTCACCAGGGGGCAGTGTCAACATATTGAGAACAACAGTTGGTAAAGTGGGTTTCAGCAGCTTCAAAGTAAAACAGAGGTTTAAATAATTCGTTTTCCACTGCAGCTGCTGCCTGTACTTCTCTTAGTGCTTCTTTCACCTTTAAAGGTGCAGTCAGTCACTTTCTGAGTTTATTCAAAAAAAGCAAAACTAAAAACATTCATGTCTAATTACAAGTGTCCACATCCAACAATGTTAGATCCACTCCACAACTTCACTAACACCGGCTGAGCTTAGAGAGGAGTTCAAGATACCCTCAACAGTTCACCTCAGTATCGCTGTTATCGGTCAGAAGACAGCTTCTCTTACTCATCGACCGATCTGACACACACTCGTTCTACAGCCTCCTCCAGAGTGAATAAACACCAGTTGATGTAAGCAGCAAACTGGCAGCCGACACTCACTACAGATAAATGGCAGCCAAAGCTATTTGTCCTAGAGCAGCCACCGTAGCTAGACTACATACTTCAGTCAGGAGGAGTAAGATGACACAATTCAGTTCGCTGCAATCTAGTGCTGTAAATTTCCCCCTCGGTGAACTTCCTGTTGAAGCCCACTTTTCAACCTATGTATGTAGAAAAAAAACATGCAACAGACCCTGAAGTGGGTCTGCAAATCCAGCACTAGGTTCAGATTAGCCTGTCTAAAACCCATCTTTCAATATTAACTGCAGACCACTGCTGGCCTGCAGCATGCCTGCCAGGTGACAGAGGTGAGAAGACCCAGTGTAAGCAGCGGACTGCTTGAGAGACCCTCAGTGATCTGCAGACTGGAAACCAGTAAAGATCCATCCACAGGTTCATGCATGCAAACCTGAAAGGCTCTTTTTCCATCATCATAACTTGGGAGTTATGATTTTCACAGACATCAAATGGACACGAGTATCACCATAGCTAATTATGCAATACAGTTCAATTTGTCCAATGCATAGAATAAAGATCTGTGTGAATGTAGCATGCAGTTTAACCCTTTAAGACCTACCATAGAACCAAGTCCGCCAGAGCTTATATTATATTTTTACATGCTGTGGAGCCATTT